GGATCCCAGCATGTTTTCTTTAGAACCATACCTTGCAATCAGGAAAGGTTTTGTTTTTTGTTGTTTTTTTTTTTTTTTTAACCCAAGATATTTTGATTGAAATGTACTGAACTCACTGACCTGTCACTTTTTTTACTTCTTTGGAAACCTCACTGGTCACAGTTTTCCCCATAATCTGGAGGCTTTATTAATGGCTTTTCATGCATGATGTGAAGTATGGGCCATTTTTTCCTTTGCAGCACAGCTTGTAATAAATAGCATCTTACTGTAAAATAACATCATTGAATCAGAGGACTGGAGAGAGAGACACTCAAGGAACATGATGATAAGCTAAACAGATGAATACTCTACATTTGAAAGCTTATCTAAAATGATCCCAACCATACAGTTCGTCCAGTAAAAGAGATCACCTACAAAAATCCTTGCCACTTGCACTGACTTAAATAAAGATTTTTCTCAAAAGAGATCTTAAACTAAAAGTAGAAAACACGCAAACTCATGTACTACACGCAGTTTTTGTGACTGAGTAACAGGCATTTCAGGTTCATGTGTGAGAGCATGAAGGGTGTCCAATCCAGCCACCATTGAAGAGTGTGAAGATATAGATCCGGCTTTAAATGACTGTTAACGAAATATTTAACGATGTTTATGTTTGTGGTGTATTTAGGTTTCAGACACTGTGATGGAGCTTGACAGTTTACAACTCTCAGAACTGTTTTTTTGTTTTTTTTTAAAAATCCAGACCCTGCTAAATCAGGCTGTGGACCAACGATAAACCTGTTTTAAAAAGGAGGAATTTTTTATGATTGTGTCAGCTGATCTGTTAGGTAGAAAACTGAGCTGGGTGGCAGAGTGTTTTTGTGTGTGCTTCTATCCCACAATAAGTGGAAGCTTAACTGGGACAACTACCCTATAATGAAACAACTGTTATGTTCCTGTAATTTAGCTTCTGTGTATTGCAGGATGGAGTGGACGTGCAATTACAGTGGTTCAGCTTGAAGCATAGTCAGTTTAATTGTTTCCTCTGGCCATGCGTTCAGAAAAATAATGCTATGTGATCCAGGTTACGTTCGTAACTTAAAACAACTTTTCTCTGGAAACGTAAGGTTAGGTTCTGAGTCATGATCCTGCAGGCTGATGTAGATTCCACAACACATTCAGCAACCACAAAATTGAGGAACGTTGGGGGTGGCACTTACTTATGAATGAATGAATGTGTTGTATACAGTAGATATTGAAGTGACAAGTGTAGCATAGGAACGTAAAAACAACTGAGTTATTTCTATAATACAATCAAACTATGTGATTGCATTAAGAATGTTTCATCTAGTTTAATATGCCAATCTTTTGCATGTACTTACAGAGGATCATGTCTGCCTGCTGGACTGCATTGTGGTTGATCTGCAGGACATGGACATCTTTGCTGCAGAAAGATATCCCAGGGAGGGTTCTAAGGCTGTGGAGAACAGCGGTACAGATCTCATCTTCCCTTCCTACTTTGTCAGGCAGGCGGGAGGAAACCTCTTAACAGAACCGTTTCGACTGAAACTGAAAGTAGAGAGAAACTTGGACAAGTGAGTTTAATCTGGATAATTTCATACTCGTGACTGAATGCGGATATTGTAAATAAACTCTCCTGTGTTTGAATTACTTTAATCCTCTTCGAAGTACTTTTTCCCTATCCTTTTTTTATTTGTATTTTTAAATATTCCCACTCATGTGAAAAAACCCTCAAAGGCTATAGGTTAAGTTATTATAATAAGAAGTGTTTAACATTATAGATACTTTGCATACAGTTAAGAAACTTCAAATCTAGACGCCAAGAATTTAACTCATCAATCCATTTATAGGCACCTAAATAAGATCCTTCATTTCCAGAGGCACTGAGTATTTGCAGTTGCCATTGACTGAATTTGGAACCATATATGCCATCTTAGAAAAGCACTGTGCAAGTGTCATGAAAATAGGTACCAAAAGTCTAAGCACAGTTTAAGAGCTTTAAAGCTGGGTATACCTTATTTTATGGAAGTTTCTACGTTCATGGGTGTGAGACTTTCCTTTTCTCCTTTTTCCCTCATCAGCAGGACCTCTACTCTTAGATTGACCTTATTAACTTTATTTTTCCACCAAAAGAGTTTTAAATTATTCTCTTCCCCTACTATTTCAAGGCTGCTTGCTCCAGTTCCCCTGTGGTCTACTGTCTTAATCAAGGGCGGGCAATTATTTTGGGCAGAGGGCCTCTTACTGAGTTTCAGAAAGCCATTGAGGGCTGCATGACAGGCAGCCCAGGGAAGATTAATATTAATTTCCTACATTTTTTAGGGGCCCCATAGGCCAGATAGAATGGCCCGGCGGGCCGTATTTTGCCCACCCCTGGTTTTAATGCACCAAGTCTTCTATCACATAGCTTTTAGACTGAATGGAAATGGTCAGGAAGTATTGAGAAGAACTTCTGAGGAGAGAGCTTTCAGCAGCAGCGAGTGTAGGGCCATTTAGAAATTATTCCATGTAAGAGTTCCCATTCACCTCCAATCTTCTGGTGGTCTGCCTCTCTCCCAAGCATAACTTGCTATAGCAACTTCCTCCCTAAACTGTAGACATGGTTAGTATACAAGGTGGATGCTGTTATGCTGTAGTGTTTTAATAAACATAAATGAGCTGTGCATGTGTTCCTCTTTTCTTTTTTTTAATATTTATCTAGAATAGTGGTTTTCAATCGGTGGTCCATAGACCCTTTGTGGTCCACAGACTGTGTATAAGGGCTCCACAAGAGATAACTATGATCGTTCAAAAGTACATGAATACTCACACATACAAATCCAAGGGGCCTATGCCTGTTTAAAATTTCTAAAGGAGTCTGTATCTCCATTTGAATTTTTTAGGGGTCTGCAAATGAGAAAATGTTGAAAAACACTGATTTTAAAAGTATTCAATAACTTTGGTACTTGAAAATTTATTAGTAAAATTTTCAAAATTGCCTGACATGCTAAAGACCCAATGGGCGTATGTAGACAAAATGGGGGCCCTAAATTTGAAGTGGTGGGTTTTTAAAAACACTGCTTTAATTAAGGGCCCTTTTAAACCCCCATGTCATGCACACACCTGAACTTACCTGCCTCTCTGGCAGCGGGGAGGAGAGGGTGAGCTGCCGGTGGGCGGAGCAGTTCCTGGGTTGCTGGGTGGGATTGGTGCTTCCCTCTGCAGTAGCGGCAGCCCCCCCAGGCGGCACCCGCCTGCAGGCACCTGGCTTGGGTGGTCCTGGGAGGCGTCGCAGTCTCCAAGGGAAGCACCGGGCCCCCGCACAGCTCAGACATGCAGGCAGGCACCAACGGCGGGGGGAGAAAAAAAGATCTTGGGCAGAGCTTGCCTTCCTGGGCTGCTGCCAGACTGCCTGCACAGGCAGCCTGCGGAGCCCCTGAGCTGCACAGAGCCCGGTGCTTTGCTCCGTGGCTGTAGGGCAGCAAACTAAAACTCCTCAGCAGTTTTTGCTGCACTCCAAGTCATTTAAGGAATAGTATGCCGCCAAATTTGCTACAGTGGCTGGAATTACTGTGCAATACACCGCCGATACGTGCAGACAGCAACACCATTAAAGCAGTGCAACAGCACTGAACCTGCTTTAAAGTGTCGTGCACACATGCCCCTCATTTAGTTTACACACAGCCAATGCCTTTCAATGGGATTTGAACACCCAAGTTACTTTTGTGCTTTTGAAAATTTTACTCTTTAATGGAATGAACGGGCCAGTGATTTCTCACTTAATTTGTTGCCATCTCTGAGGTGTAAAGATTATCTCCCAGTTTTTCACATCCCCTTGCAATCCATACTTTCTGCTTTATCATAAATGCTGCAGTTCAGTCCGTGAGATGGAATTATTTCTGTCTATGTTAGGTGGTGTGTTTGCATTCCAGGGCAGGAAATATTACAGTTGAAGGGTTGTTTTTTTCCAACCTGTTTTTTTTCTTTTTGTAGGGAAATAAGTCATGCAGTCCCAGACATATCAATTCATGGTAATCTATCGTCAGTCCATTGCTCCCTGGATTTGAGCAAATATAAACTGATTCGAGGGCTTTTAGAGAACAACCTTGGGGAACCTACAGAAGAGTTCATGAGACCCTATGATTTGCAGGATCCAAGAATTCATGTGAGAGAAACTGTGATTTTATGTAACTTAAATTCCATATGGAAACATTTGAGTCCTGTTTGGTTAAGAGTATGCACAAAAATCTTTTCCTATGCTTTGTTAAATGACAAACTGAGTTTTGCTGTTAGGAGGAAGATTTTCTCAGCAGAAGAGTGGCAGGTTTTAAAGTTCTCTCTGTTGATATATTTTGGGAATCCCAAGTCCTTTCACAAGCAATTAGAAGTATAAAAAAGGAAGCATGTTCTTATCAGTTTTGTCACAACATAACCAGTTACTATATTGGTAACTTCCTTTTGTTTAGGTATTTTGTGGCAGGGTCCTGAATATTTCCTGTCTGTAAGGCCCAGCGTCAAATGCAGCAAGACTGGATGGAACGAATGAGCATCTATACACACACTCCAGAGTGGAGGGGGATGCACTTTAATTAAAGCGGTGCTCAATGAGCTTTAGTTAAAGTGGCCCTGCTGCCATTTTGAAACACAGGGACACTGAATACATGCGCCACAGAGGCTGCTGCAGTGTGCTAATTGGCACACTGCAGCAGACTCGATTCATTCGTTGTATTATAACTGTGTACATGGAAAACTAGATGGATCAACAACATTTGACTGTCTTATCTATTCAAGCTAAGTTAGATTAATCGAGTCTGTTCTAATGTGTCAGAGCAGGGGTCCGGCACATGTATAGGTGCCCAGTATGCCTTTGCCCTTATTTTTGGGGAGGAATTGCTACTGACTTCATTATTTCTTCTTTCAACTTTGGGAAGAGAGGGGAGAGATTCTACGTATTACTGTTCCATGGCACAGTTATCGCCTGTCTTCCATGCAGACAAAGCCACATTTTATGACTATGTTCTAGAAAACATGTAGCATGCCCTTTAGATTTTCCAACCATTTGGCGAAGTCCCCACAATACTAACCTGTTGTCCTTTCAGGGTTTGGTGAAACGTGTGGCATGAAGAGTACTGTATTAAGAAATAAACGTTGCATAGGTAACCAAAGGGAGGGAGGTCCTGATAGAAGGTACTTGGAACAATTTGGCACTGTTCTTTTAAAAATGCTAGTCAGCACTGTCCTGGAAACTGATTACATTTATTCTAGCTTTTGGTTATAGTACTGGAATATATTTTTTCTGATGTATGTTAATAAAACTCAATTGAGGAAAAGCTAGAAGACGTAAATGTTCATTAGGAAATCCTAAAATCAAAGATTGGAAATAACCGTGATATTCTATTTTCAGACTGTGCTGAGTGGTGAAGTGTATACCTCTATGACTTTCCTCATAGACATGGTCAATGTGAGTCTGGAACTGATGGATCCAAAAGGAAAAGATGGACGCAGCTCATTAGCTCGGTATGACTGTAGCAGCATTTTTAAAGTAATAACTTTTTTAATGTTTCATTTGTGTGAGAGTTTTTAAAGGATAACGGATTATAGCTTATTGAAATATATAACAGCTTATATATGTGTACAGTATGCACAAGCTGAAGGCAGTCTGAATTACAAGATTTCATGGAAAAGGACCATTTTGCTACTAAAGACCATCACTTAATAGTTAAATTGGCCTACAAAGTTGGAGGCATCAAAAGTGCCCTAACCCCAGCAGGTGTGAATTTTCAGGACTCCTGGCAACCTGATGGGTTCAAGTCATGGGTGAGCTACTTGTGCCTTTATCCTTTCAAAACAAATGCAATAATAGCCAGTTTACGGTACACAGGTTGGCTTTGGGTTTTCACCTTACATATCCTTTCCGCTTCTCTCTTTGATATGCCTATGCAGTGTGCTTATTATATGTCTGCCTAGACCACCTACATTGTAGGCAACTGTATTTCAGTAATGTTAAATGAATTAGACATTGCTTGAATTGTTTTCACTTAAAATTACCTCTATTCTCTATTCTCTATTGTTATGAACTACCATTAATTGTAATATTTATGCAGATGAGCAATATAGTGGTGACAATGTTTGTAGCTGATGCTGGTATTCTTCAAGTTCTCACAAAAAAAATCCTTTGGTTATATTTTCTATATAGGTAAACAATCCAAATGACTGTTAGGAGAAAAATGGTTTGAAAGAGTCCTAGATTAATTATTTTCTTTGCTTTTGTGCGTCAGGTTTGACTTCAAGAAATCCAAGCTGCTTTTTGAGAGTTTTTCAAATCAAGCAAAATCTGTAAATTTGGTTTCCCATTCTATGATGGCCTTTGACACTCGATATCCTGGACAGAAGAGTACTCTCAGTGTACCCAATGTATTCAACTGCATTTTTCAGTCATCAAGGAACACTGCTAATCAAGGAGCAATACAGATTGAGCTGCATTTCAGGTAAGTGAACTTAGGACCTTTTTTTTTCCCCCTTTGTAACATGTCAGGATATGAAATGGATATTGGAAAATAAGTGCCTACAATAGGCAATTACTTTTCTAATATCTCTGGCTTTAATGCAGTAGTTTCTTAATAATGTAAGTAATAAACCCAAAGTTGTTTCTTAAATCTCCTCGTTACCTGTATAAATACTTACTTTGAAATCTGCAAGTGTATATGCATTGATATAGCTAAAGGCATAGGCTCTGATGAACCATTGCATATGACTTGGGGTGAAATCCTGGCCCTGTTGGGATCTCACTGACTTCGGTAAAGTCAGGTTTTCAGTACTGCATCAGCTGGATTTGTATGAGTGGATGAAGAGGTGTGCAATCAAATTTAACCAACCTGTTTGTTTTCTGTCTAGAAGTCATACCTTTAACTAATGATTCAGTGTTATAAATTATATTTATCAACGCCCCCACCCTTCGTTAGATGGCAGCAGTATTACTTCTTCCTTACAAATTCAGATACATGCTTGCACTGTTTAATTGCTTTAAAAAAAGGATTGCCTACCTATTTTGAAGTCTTTAGTCTGTTACAACTTTATTTTAAATTATTCGTATGTGTTATGCACCAGTTAAAATACATTTCCAGTAGATGTCACTCTTGCCTCTTTTCTGGGAGTGAAATGATCTAAAAAGAAGGCGCCTTGTCTACAAAACACAATTGCTGTGCTTCCTGCTGCAAAAGGACATTATTCCTGTAGGTTTTGCTCATCTAATTCTGCTTGAATGCTTGAGAGCATCCTAATTATAAGGTTTTGTCCTGTTCTAATTAGCTGTTGTTCAGAAACTGATAGGAAATTTGATTTGCAGTAACTTGTCATGATCTATATCATGTAAGGAAAATGTATGTAGTTTGACATATCAGCGTCTAGGGTTCTACATCTCTTATCTTCTATGGGTGTTGTGTTGTCTACCTCTGGTTGGAAACCGAAAGTCCACAGGCCAAATCAGACAGGTGGAGCCATTTGTGAGTTTGGGGGGGCTTTGGCAGCATTTAGTAATGGGCTTTAGCAGCAGTCACTTTCTTGTACCGCCGTGGGGAGAAGCACCAGCAGTGGCTGGGTCATAGCACCTACTCACTCACCTATAACCTGAACTGTCTCTCTCTGGGCCACAGCCTAAAAAGGTTGCCAACTGCTGATCTGGCTGGTTAGTGAAGTGGGAAGAGAAGCAACACTCTTATGATGTATTGTGCCTGGTTCTAGACACAGACTTATTGTCTAAAATTGGGCAAAGACAGGTCCCTTGACCTCCATCTTTCAGTCTTTGTAAAAATTTGTATGATCTCTCTGTACAAACGTGCAATTCACTTGTTCATGAAATGCTTTGAGATCTTCTGAAAGTCTCAAGAGCAGTGAAGTATGTTATATTTTAGTTCAGTTTGTGATGCACAAGCTTTTTTGATAGCTGCTTCTTTTTATAAGACTGTAATAGAAATCTGTATAAATTTACTGTACAGGCTCAAGCAGTTAATTGTATTGTAACTGTGTACATGGAAAACAAGGTAGATCAACAATATTTGAGTCAGAATAACCATAGCTGTTTAGCAAGCAGTTATTTCAGAGGTTTTCAAGGGAGACTTATTTGGACCCTAAGGGCATGAACAAATATTGCATTAAAAGCAGGGGAAGATTTATGATGCTTCAGCTGCTCCGCTGCTTTGTATGTCTGCTCCTATGCTCCATTTGTTTGTCTATTCTTAACCTGCCATTTAGATGGATCAAAGGGTATTTTTCATATTAAGATCTTTAGTTTTGGTCAAATCATATTCTAGGAAATATGTTTTGATATTTCAGGAATTTTAGCTTTAATTAAAAATGTTTCAGAGCATGAGGACAGAGACACGCACATTATACTTTTTTGAGTGCCGAGTATATACTTGGCACTAGACAGAAGCTTTTGCGAGGCTTGCTAATAGTGTTGTAGTGGCTTCTGCCATTGGAAGTATCCCAGAAAGCCAAGGAAAGCTAAAGGATTTTACTTAGGAAATAGTACATAGACATTGCATCTCACAGAGGAATTACAGCTCTCTAGGGATTTTTGTTGTTTAGACTCTGTCTGATATAAAATTGATTCATGGCATTTGAATATTGTAATATTTTTTCCAGTTAACATGACCAAACCACAATGGGCATTCCAGATGATGAAGTCAGATTTTTTTCTATCCCTTTAATCAGATATTCAAAACATGTTGCTAGAAGTTCTGTAAGGGTAGAATTTTTTTTTTTTTTTCAAGTGACAGCACCCGCCTGTGATATGAAATGCAGTCAGGGTGTGAGAGGAGACCTGCTATATGTCCAGTCCTTTTGAGAGGCACTGAGCTAGGTTGAAATTTTCATATACGGTAACACCCAAATTTGATACTGAACAGATGTCAAAAAGTAACATTATATTCTAAAAGTTAACATCACATATAACATGAGTACGGACTGTTTTCAAGGTGGTAAAAGTGATTATATAGTATATGAGGACATTTTGGCTCTTCTGTTAAGATTTTTGTTCCTTGTGTATTTTGATGGCATGCAAAGTCTTTTGGTCTTTCGTCTCAGGTTTGTGTGTGCGCGCGGTAAGCCGACACATCTAGGTTTTTCAAAGAGCTGTAGAATCTGTTAAGAATCCCAAAAGACCATTTGCAAGTTAATTATATTTGCACAAGGTAAATTAATATTACTCGCTACCCTGGGAATGTAATATCAAAGTCAGTGTGGAAGGTTAGGTGCCAGAACTGGCAAGAGATTTTGAGGCATATTCTGAAAGGCCTTTATTCTCTTTGACTAGATCTACTAAGGATTCCTCCTGCTTCACAGTTGTTCTGAACAACCTCCGTGTGTTTTTAATATTTGATTGGCTGTTCCTTGTTCATGACTTTCTACATACTCCAAGTGATTTTAAGAAGCAGGACACTGTCACACCTTCTCAACAGCGCAGTTACAGCAGTGAAACAACTGTCCTTCCAAAAGCAGTGAAGAGTGGAGTAGTTACAAAACGTTCTTCACTCCAGGTGTCTAATGAAAAGCAGCTGGAAGTCAGGATTAATGTAACAGGTAAATACATGCTGCTTTCTGCATACAGAAAGAATAGGCAGTTTGCCATTAGGAGCTCTCTGGTTTAAATATAACAGAATAATGTTGAAGCAATAAAATATCAGGTGGTAGAGGAGCAAATGATAAAAAACCTCTATTGCTCTCTTAAAAATGTTTAAAAATAATGTTCCTTCATGCTTAAGTATGTGCCATTTATTTTGGTTAGGCACTGAATTTGTGGTGGTTGAGGACATGTCATGCTTTGATACCAATGCAATTATTCTGAAAGGGACTACTGTTCTCACTTACAAGCCCAAATTGCTGGATCGTCCTTTCTCTGGCAGCTTTTTTGGTATTGAGGTAAGAAGAAACAATTCTGGTTTTATAAAGCGTTTAGTCAAACACTTGGTCAGTTCAGTAATGTGCCCTGTTAAAACCTAAATATGAAAGATTTCACAGTGGAATACTTTGCCGTTTGCTCTGTTTTTCCAGACTTCTGTCTGACTCTGTCAGATTTCCTTAGTCTCATGGTAGTACAAAAATGGTTTCTGCTTTGCTTCTGCCACCATGTTTAAGTAATTAGTTAAAACTTCAGAACACTGTTAGTCAAGTATATTTTCTAAGTGTCTTCACCTCCATACGTTAACTTGCATAGCGCTGATGACTGAAATGAAACTGCTCGATTATTTTTTTTTTCCAGGTTGGAGACAACATTCTGGGCAATGCCTTTGATAAAATTAATTTATGCCTGTGGAAACTTTACTTCTGAGCAACAGTGTGTATTATAATTGTGTAATACTTAACTCATGCATCCTTAGTCTTCATGTTAACTTCTTTTAATATAGATGGAAATTATTAGCCATACAGTAGCACTAAGTCTAACTATCCACCATGGAATAAAAAAACACCCTTTGGATTTAAAGCTTGGTGTTCGATTTCTCAAAATGAGGGTCCTGACTGTGGTTGCACTTCAAAACATTTTTGAAAAATTTCCATTTATTCATCTTATAAATGGTACTTAATGAAGTATTTGAGATTTTCAGATTTGAAGTCTGAAAAGAAAGTCCATGTCAGTCTAATAGTTTCCTTTGTGATAATGATAAAAGTACTGAAACACTAAATTACTGAGTGGTTAATGAAAGCCTTTCTCCTTTAGGCCACCAGTTCAACTCCAGCTCAGGAGTGATAATTAGTATCTGATGGCTTTATAATGGCATGCTTGAAATCTGTTTTTCCATCTATTTTATCCATCAACAGAAAAGCTACCACTGCAATTAAGAGTAATTGAATAATGTACTGATATTTCCAGTAGGGTCTGAGAAGTGAACGGGTCATGAAGACTGATCCGTTCTACTGTTTCTTGTCCTCCATTCTCAGTGGTAGCTTTTTCTCAAGTATGGGTGAAGCACTGTGGGGAAGCCTGCCTTGCCAGTCTGTTATGTTTTGTGGGTGACATAAATGTCCGAGGCAGTGACTCTCAACCAGGGTGCTGTGGCACCGTAGGATGCTTCGATCCTTTCGAGGGTTCTGCGAGGTGCCGTGCAATGACACCCCTGTTAGGTGTGCAGATATGATTTACAAGATTAACTCAGAGATTTCAAATAAGAATCCAGCATCAAAAACATTCTGGTTTGTTGTTGTCTTCCTGAGTTTTTGCAAAAAAATTGCTCTGTTACTTTTTTTGCAATCAAAAAATGAGTGAAAGTTTAGAGTTAGCATTTTCCAAGGGGTGCCATGAGTCTAAAAAGATTGAGAACCACTGGTCTAAAGGCCTCAGTCGAATACCTTTCCTAAATTTAGGCAAAAGTATTTAATTGACAGTTTGACAAAGACCTTAGTTTGTATGACATGCATTTTTACAAAACTGTCAGTGGATTTAAGGATGAAGTAATAGGAAAGGGGTTTCTTAACACTAATATATTTGGGAAAGCCTTCTTGGTTTGTTTCATCTGCTTGTTCCCTTTCTAAATGGTGATCCCCAGAAAGAGACTTTGCAAGGTTCACTGTGGCAGCAGAAGCAGAAAAATACACTGTGTGTGCAGTCTTTGATTTTTCTTTCCCTTTTCCCCCCCACCCTAACTCGTCCACCTTTCAATCATTTTAGGTGTTTTCATGCCGCTTGGGAAATGAGCAAGACACTGCACTGTCCATAATTGATCCTGTACAAATTCAGATGGAACTGGTTGGGAATTCTGCATACCCAAGTGGTTCAGGATTGCTGGATGCCTTCAATAGTGAGGATTTTCCACCAGTTCTAGAGGTATTACCAAGAATATAAATGAAAAAAATTGTCAATCTAAAAATATTTAGGCTGATGCTGGAGACTCCAAAACGGTGCTTTTTCACATAGCTAAGAAAAGGATAAGGCAATTCTTTAAAATTATATTTGTTTTAAACAGGCACATGGACATTATTTTGGTGGTAAGAAAGGAGTGATTTCTCATGGTGTTTTTTAATTATTAGATATATTTATTAAAGAGAAGAAGAACAACAGCAACAATCCGTTACTGCAAAAACACAAAGCTGTGACTTAGATTCCCTGTGGTAACTTTCTGGTGTATGATCATATCTTAAAGTACTTTCTTTTGTAAGTCGACTTGTTATCATGGCTTGTTTAAAAAATACATTTAGAGATATTATTTTTCCCCTTAAGCAAGCAAGCAAGCAAGCAGTCCACCCCTGGTTTGAGATTTTAAAATAAATGTTACCGAACTTCTCCTTTACTGAAAGATCTGCATGCACAAATGGTTTATCCTGTAGTTGATGGCCTGAGGCCTTTTAAAGTTTATGGATTATTGGTTAATTACAGAAACTTGGCAGTTTTAACCATCTCATCTATTGTAGCTTTCCTCCTAGAAATGTGTTGCTACAAGATACAGTATGCAAAAATTACACAAATAGAATAAAAATGGTAACATAAAACTTTAATCATACCAATTTTTGTTTCATTTAGATTCAGTTGCAAGCATTGGACATCAGACTGTCTTACAATGATGTCCAGCTGTTTTTGGCCATTGCAAAGTCCATCCCTCAGCAAACTAGTGCTGCCGTGCCTGACTCTTCCATCTCAGATGCTGAGAGTGCTGCTAGTAATCTTTCCAGTTCATCTTGGGCAAATGAGACCTCATCATCAACATTTGAAAGCAGAGAGGCATCTAAACACACATTAGATCCTGTTCTTGGTATGCCTTTAACTATTAGACCAAAACCATTTTCCATGCTATAAGGAGACTTCTGTGAGAAAAGCTGGATGTAATGTTTAACAGCAGATGCTTGTAGCTTGGTTATATGAAATCTGTATTTCATCAGTTTAGGTATGCATATGATATTGTTAGATCGTCAGTCTGCTTCTGTTATGAAAATAGATTACTTAATTTTAGTTTATACTTGACTTGAATCAGGATTGCCTATCTTGATACATTAGCAGGATGCAGTAATGCTTAGGTAAGAAACAGTACAAGGGAAGTGATGTTACTTTAAATTGTTTAAGTAAATGAAACATTGGCCTTCCCTACTCCACTAGCAAGCTTTTATTGACGTTAGGCTTTGCAAATGATTAAAATGCATGTGCAGTTGTAACTTGCCAAAAATAATGCGATATACAAGACTGAAAATGGCTATACCTTCTTCACTGTTATGTAGGCAAAATAGAACTGAAAATAGATGAGGAATCATTCACTGCATTAAAGGGTTTAACATATGGATCCAAGAACAGTTAGTCCAAACTCTAATTAAGTGCCTGTTCATATGCCTAAGGCAGTTAGTTGATTTTTAGCCTGGTCTAAAATACAAAACATTAAACAAGTTGTGCTGTTTGGACTGAAGCATCCCTGAATCCTTTATACTTTTTTAAAAAATAGAAGTACTTGGGGCTCTTAGAATTAGATCCATTTTTAAACAAGAGGACATCACATTTTTAAAATGAAAGCAGGTAGAGCAACTACTTTATAGAGACTAATGCTTGACTTAATTACAGAGGTACAGCTGGCTCGACTTCAGGAACTGGGATTTAGCATGCATGACTGTCGCAAAGCACTTCTAATTTGCCAAGGTAATTTCAGATTTGTTTTATATGTAGTTTTAGTATTGATCATGGTTTCCTGTCTTGGTACAGTGGAACAGTCAGACTAGCAGTTACTTGAGATGTAGACAAGTGCCCTCTACCTATTCTTCTACCCTTCTGTCACCAAAATAAGGTTTATATCTACTTCCTTCAAATACTTTTATTTTATGCCCTGTTACTATTTATATCTTGAACTGTGTTCTCTCTGATGTGTTTGTTGATTTAAAAGTTTGCTTCTCTGAAAAATATGTCTCACTTTAAGCATGATATACTTCTCTGCCGTGCTGTAGCAATCCCTCAACACTGATCACTGTTTTGCTGTAGTTGTATATGGATTATCCTCCTTCTCATTTACAGGTACTCAGATTTTAATCCAACAGAATGCTGTATTGCTCCCTAAAGATATAACGATAGTCTTCATGAATATGAAGTTATTTCCTAATTGTAACTTTCCTTATTTTCCTGACATTAAACACCACTTTAGTCATTTGTTTTTGGGTTTTGTAGGGAATTGGTTTAATTGCTTTGTATAAATACTTTTTCCATCAAACACATATTAAGTAAATGGGTTTTTTGGGGGGGTTTTTGCTTATCTTTTAAGGCCAGTTGAAAAAAGCAGCAAGTTGGTTGTTTAAGAATGCCGAACCTTTGAAATCCATTTCACCAGCCTCTCATCGAGATAGCCAGGGAGCTGTGCCAGTTCAGTTTGTTTCTGGAGTGGAGATTAAAGCAGAAAGCATATGCATTTGTTTTATTGATGACTGCATGGACTGTGATGTTCCTTTGGCCGAGTTAACCTTTTCACGTGAGTTTCTTGCTTGCTTAATTGTCTTTTTAATCACTTATGTGATTGAAACAGTGGTTGGCAACATTTTCTAGCAGTGAACCAGAATCACCGGGTTTGGGTCCGAGGCATACTGATGTTAAATCCTGGCCGCCACTACTACTGAAGCTGATTTTCTCTGCCCATGTTGCAGTCAGGTAGCAGAGTACTTCAGTGCTTGAATGTCCTCTGAAGCCTCCAGATCCATGGCTGGATCCAGTGGCCCAACAGCCCAGATCTGGCCAATTGCTGATTTCTGATTTTAAAGAATCCTTCAGTGCCTGTTGCTGTATATGTTTCTAGTCTGCATTTCAGTCTGGTAGCACCAAAAAGATTTTTTTAAAAGAATATTTTTTGTGTACTTTCTCTGCAAAGTAAATATAATTGAACAAATATGTTCACTGTAACCGAAGAATGGGTGGTGAACATAAAATGGTATTAGTCTGGATAGTGGTTGGGTCTAATACAGATCAGGGCTGTTTGTAGGTCTAATACAGGGCTGTTTGTGTTAAACAGTGAACAAGGGCATTGGAAGTTACTACTCCCCCTTTTGCTGCCTTCCCTCCTCCCTGTTTCTGAACTCAAAATGCGTTCTTTGTGAAAATGTGATTTTTGGTGTTCACTAAGGACCGCCCACCTTTGAATAAAAGCCAAGGAGTCAGGGTTTTAATATAGGGTTTTTTTTTTCCCCCTGTTAATTTTCTGTTTGCATTAGTAGGTTCTCTAATATAAAGTCTGACAGAAGGATGTGGGAGGCTGTGTTCTATTAAGAGGTAGATAATTAAGCCTTTATTAAGGAAGGAAGCTGGATAACTGTTTATCTAGACTTCTGGCAAAAGCTACTCAAGTATTTTATGCGTAGATTGCACAGAGGAAAGAGAAAAGAACATTTTCCACATTAAAATAACTTGTAATTAAATCCTTTGGGATATTACCTTGCAGGGTTTATAATGTTTACTTGCTTTCTGATCACAGGTCCAGGACAGAACTTTGGGAAGTTTATAGGCACTGATAGCATTTGTACTGGTCTCCCTGAAGTGTTTCTAGCTCTCGAACTTCAAGAGATAGTGGACCTTAAAATTATCTCGTGGCGACTACCACTTTGTGTAGTTTTCCTTCTCTTCTGTTGCACCAGACTTCTAGCATCAGCAACCTGCAAGATAGATTAAAGATAGAGAAAAATGATTTGTGGTGATTGAAATTCAGCGTTCCTAGTTATGTTCAGATGACATTTATTCATGGTGTTTGAATCCAACAGTGTTGCTAAGTTCATGATAGCTGAAAAAGGGAATGGAAAGATTGTAGTGAGATGCAAACAGTTTTTTTTGTATTGTTGCTGGACCATTGGCGAGCAGTCTGCTCTCACAATTTACCAGTGGCCTGCCATACTTATTATTATTATGTTTTTGCCATGCTTGACCCAAGAAATTGCTTACTCGCCCCTGAAATTTAACAGCTGTCTAGTCACAGAGGTTTTGTATCTGAATCATAGTGGTTTTTGGTTTTGATGTCTTTATGGGAATCGAGGAATTTCTTAATGATTTACTGGAGTTGTATATTTTATCAGTTTCAGTTTAAATGTACCTGGCAACTTGACAGTAATGAGATTCGTTTTGTGCGTGTAGGAGATACCAAATGCAGGTTAAAAGTCAGAGGTCAGGACCATGTCTGCTTCTTTCTGTACAGCATGTAGCATTATGGCATACTTGTCGTGATTTGAACCCTGGAGTGCTTCAATGCAAAAAAGAATTGTACAGCTCATTATTTTGTTTAAAGAGCACTGTTAGATATTTTTATGCTATTCAGAAAAAAACCTATCCATTTCTTGTCAATGTCTCCTTGAAGGAAGGCCTCAGTCATACTTCTCTTGCAGTAGTATAATGTTCACTTCTGTTACAGGTTTGAATTTTCTCCAGCATGTGAGAGCCAACCCTGAAGGCTATGCTCAGTTTACACTCTCTGGAGATTATTATAACCGTGAGCTTTCGGGTAAATATAAAATATATGCATGTATATATTATTGTAGGATTTGGAAAGCGGTCTTGCATACTTTAGTAGTCTGGACTTCACTCAACATAATATGTATTTAAGGGGTAGGGTTGTTGCATCAGCCTGTGGTCTGTAAAGAAGAAGAAAAGCTTAACTTAAATGCATATGACAGAAACAGAAATTTAAAGGGATTGCGTTGACACAAATATCATCGTATCAGTATCCTTTATTATCCTGTATTTGTTACTTTTTAAAATTAAAATCTCTTCCTTGCTATTTTATGTTTGCTTTCCATTTTGGTTGTTAATTCTTTTGTTCAATCCCATTTGTCCTTTTTTAAATACAAGGACTATGAGAGCATCCAAGTAGATTTAAAATCTGCAAAAGGCAAGGATTCTTGTGGGTAATATCTTTTATTGGACCAACTGCATGGTTAGGGTGGACATAGGCAAGCTTTCAGGTATTACAGTACACTTCCTCAAGCCTCTGGGAGAGATGCAGACAAAGCAGAGTTAGGTAGCTGATGGAACAAAAAATAATCCGTTTAACCCATTTAAAAAAAGCACATTTTAATCCTGATAAAAGGGAACTGGGGCTGAACTTTTATATGGGAAATGAGACCGTTATAGTCTTTTTAGATGAGATTCCTCAAAACAGTGTCTAGGAGCTGTCATGGTTTAGTGCCTTGGCCCTGCACACTGCATGTAGCCTGTGGACTGGACCTGGCGCTGCACACAGCATAGAGTCTGCATGTAGCACCCTGCTAGACCAGCTCTGCAGATTGCCTCTGGGGCCTGTCCAGATCAGGCCATGCCAGAACCGGCATAAAGGGCTGGGCTGGATGGGCACCGCATGGATCATGCATCCCCTGTGTTGCATGCAGAACGTGCAGTCAGTCCAGCCCCACACTCTGCATGTGCTGGCCCCAGAGTCTGCTGTGCACAGGGCTGGTATGGGGCACACAACAAGGGGCCTACAGCATACCCCTTGTGCTGCCTGCAGTGCCAGGTCCTGCTCATGTGTAGTGCGTAGCACATGCCTCAGGCCAGTGACAGGTGCACAGATGAGCTTTAGGGCTGGTGTCTGCTGTGTGTGGTGCGTAGGCTGGACCCCACACCTTGGGTGCTGCACAAGGACCCGCAGACTTGGGTGGGACCCAGTGCCCCTCATCCTTCCCATTGGGCTTGGGTAAGTTTGATACCCCTAGTTTAGTGTGTAAGTGCACCACTGGCAGAGAGAGGGGACAAGATTTTGGGTCTACAAAATCTGATTTCTTAATGTGTCAGCAGGAAGGACATCTTTTGGAATAAATTGGCAATGATAAAGCAATTATTTATCTTAGCAAACCAGAATAAACTGTTTCTGTGCTGTTTTTGCCATGTATCTTAAATCCTTCTGTTTCATGACAGTATCCATAAATATTTGCCGCCAAATTCTCTGTTGTTGTACAGAATCCTATTGAAATTAATTTACACTCATACTATTACTGAATTTTGTTTGAAGCTGTTAGTTCTTTCTAGTACTTGCCTTTATAACAGCACTTGATATTTGCTATGTTTCTCCTGTTTTGAACAACTTTCTACTATTTGGGAATATGCTCAGCTGGCTGAGTGTATATATAAAGTTCATCTTGAATGCTGATTGAAAACAAAGGGCCTTTTCATGAGGGTTTGTCTTTAGTGGGAACTTTGTACATAAGCCACTTTCCAATATGTGCTGCATAAGTCTGTCTAATAGATGTAACACTTTTGATATTGTTCTAAGGTTGGGAACCATTCATTGAACCATGGCCATGTTCAGTGTCGTGGCAACAACAGGCAGCCAGCCGCCTACATCCTTCTCGACTAAAGCTGGAAGTGAAAGCCAGACATCGTTTAGATATCAACGTTACATCTGTGTTGTTAGGTGCGTACGAGAGCACTCTTAGACCGTTATTATTTAACATAATAGCTCTTTGCATGGAATAGCCTTGACAGGTCTGCAGTAAAAACTGAGTCCCAGTTTTTACTGCAGTCAAAGGCAAAGACTTGGCCTAAAGCTCTCAAGATTCTTTAGATGGCTAAACTAGGCAGGTGTTCATTCCAACCATCAACATATTATCAGAGGCTATGAGAGTGTGAAGATTTCAATTACATATTTCGGAACTTAATCAGCACTCCATCTTTGGTCATTTGAAGTCAACAGAATTTGTGCCAAGTGTATTAATGAAAAACAGGCTTTTATAAAACTTTCCATATAGAATTACAGGCAGTCCTCGACTTACTCTTTCATACTTACAACATTTATAAATTGACACCCTGTTTCAACTTTCTGATGTCTGTTTCGACTTTACAACCCTTGATCTGATGCTATGCCATGTCAGCTGTGTCACCCATTTCCCTGGAGAACATCTGGCCAAACTTCCTTGGATGCTTTGTTTAAGAAAGCAGATGAGACTCCAGAAGAACCTGCAGCAGAGACTCCTGAGAAGACTCCAGCCAAGAGCCCTTCAAAAAGTCCAGCAAAGTCACCTCAAAGAAGTCCTTCCAAATCAATACGATTGCTATTTACAATATAAGTACATTAATGTAGCTGTATTACTCATCAGTGATTGATTGAGTACAAAATTCCTGGCTATTTTTGGTGAAAATAGGGTATGGGGCTTTGGTTCAGGAACCAATCCCCCATTATAACATTGTTTCTTATGGGAAAATTGGTTCCGAGTTACAATGTTTCGACTTAAGCCCTGGTTTTCAGGAACCGGTTGTGACCTAAGTCCGAGGACTGCCTGTATTGTGATAAACTTAGCAGTTTGTAGAAAGCTGGCACATATAGTATATGACTGCTTACTTGGTCCAGATATGATGCATATAGATATTTCTGCACAAAGCCAGAGCTGTGAAGCAGTTTGAATTTTGACTTCATTTAAAAATGAAAAGTGATTATTGGTTTGAAATACACTTATGAAAGAGTGCCAAAAACTTGCAAATGTATCTCCAAACCATTACACACTGTGCCTGGCACAGATGTGGTACATAAAATGAATTGCCCCTTGCACATGTGATATTACCCCCAAGATCACTTAAAAGAAAGCAAATGATATGATTTTGTTAAGCCTCATAATTTAGAGTTTGTGATGTAGCTAAGTTCAGTACGTGGGTACAATGGAAGGTGGCTGCTTTGTGAATACTGTTGTGTTTTCTTGAATGGCAAATTTCATGTAACCGGGGAAAGTTAGCTGTTGCAGCCAACAGCTAGAATGACTTCAAAGTGACTTACTCTGTTTGATGTGGAAGAGAGATTTTAGGAACACATTTTAATGAGCTAGCATGGGTACTTTATTCAAGTGTTAGCTTACTTTAAGCTCTGTTCTTATTTCTTGCTGTCTTTGTTTATATCGCTCTAGAACAGTATACTTGTACCAAACAGTCATGGGTGGCAGATTACTGTAAACAGGACAAAGAGGAGGACACGGTCGTATCAGAAGATTGGATGGGCTCTTCTGTGGATCCACCATGTTTTGGACAGAGTATGATGATCGCTAGTCACATTTCTTTATCTGAAATGCTTGTGACATAGGCAACAACTTCTTTTAAAATGTTACAAACACAAAGCTTGGTTCTGATCAGCGCTTGGTGCCTTTAAGGAATGCGTGGTAAAAAGATGTGTATTAATTTCTGCTTTCTGGCCATAATCCCTTGAAGAATATTTTCAGTTTTCATGAGAAAGATGCCCTACTAATTTCACCTCTCTTTCTGTCAAGCTCTCAGTAAATGGCAGACTGTTGGGTAAAACAATCCTGTGGAGGAGAAAATAGGGTAGAAGTGTGGCAGCTGCTGCGCGTCCATGTATCTCATGTTTTTCAATAGTGGCCTCCCTTGCTCATTATAGAATAGTGCTAAAGGTTTCCAAAGAAAGCCTCCCCATTTTGCTTATCATGAAGGATGATAGTTTTTGACTCATCACCCTCAGGATTAAGAAGGTAGAAATAGAGGGACCCTAGTGCAGAATGTGAAACGTGCAACCTTCCCAGGGAAAGTTAAAGATAGTGCAAGGATATGACCCTGTTATTTTTCATGTACTCTGGTTCCTTCCTCTGTGCTGACTCTTATTCCTCTTTGACTGTTGAACTGACAAATCTCTTTTGGACAAGGGAAAAACAAAAAGCAGGTTTTGATGTTTTATGTCTCCTTTGCAGTATGACTTGGAGGCTTCCAAGAATTTCATGTTCAGTAGTACAGGAGCCACCTAACAACAACAGAGAAAGCGGTGTGTGGGCTGTCCAGCTTGCACAGAGTGGTCAGATTTCACCTGTCAGAGCTCTTTAGCTGAAGAAGGACAATTGGTTTCCTTTCTTGCTGAGCATACCAGTTTTCTGCAAGTTCTGAAATTCTTGGGGAATGCTGATTCTCTGTGCCCAGGCATCACTCGACTGCCACGTGTGCCACCTCTGCATAAACATAACCTTTCAAAGCAGCAAATCCCATGTTTGAATTTCAAACTGTATACGTCTCCTTTATTTACAGGTTTTTTCTGTTATGGTGGTATAGTTAAACCTGGCACTTCTAATCTCACTGCCAGAGTCAGTAGTGAAGCTACACATAAAAGTAGTGTTTTTACACTATACATCTATTCATTTTGGATCCCTCTAACATTTGCATTATTAATTCATGGATTCTGTTCGATAGCAAATAGGTGACCATAAATAATAAAGTACCCCTTTCCTTAAGCAAAAAAGATGATCCTTGTAGACTGTATATTTTGTTGAAACAGTTGAGAAATAAACAAACAAACAATGTTTCTTAGTCCCAATATTACAATTAAGATTTGCTTAGTTAAGCATAACTGAATTTCTGAATGAAATTATACTAAGTCTCGTAATGGCTTTGTTTTCCCTGTTACTTTCAAGAGAGCATTGTTTATAGTAGCTCCTGACACTTCTCCCAGTATGTTACAAGGAGCATGTCCTGCAAGGAATAGAAAGTCACTGGGTCAGAATTTAGCACAAGGAAACGGGTACTGCTGCATTGCGGATTGCATGGTGCCAACTGTCTATAACTTTCCTCGTTCTTGTATGCATATCAGTGAAGAATCTATCTGTGTATCTGCATTTTTCCTTACCTGCTAACTTTGTCTTTCCTGTCTGCCAGGCCTTCCCCTTGTCTACCTTAGAACTAGGAGTACAGCCAGTTTGACTAACCTAGAACATCAGATCTATGCTAGAGGTACTGTACTGTAGAGAGAGAGAGAGAGAGAAGAGAATGCTTTGTGTTTGCTAAGAAATGTCTTGTACAATAAATATGCACTGAATGTATGATTTACCTGTAAATAAACCTCTAATCCTTGTATATGAAAGCTAACAAGGGCCTTGCTTATTAGCTTTCTTTTGCCCCTGCCAAGCGCCCTATATTTCTCTCATGCCTCCCTGGGTACGTCAGCAAAGAGAGGATCGGCGACCCCTGACTAGGAAGGATCTCACCCTGGGGAAAAGAAATCAAAATAACAGATGTTGTAAGCCTGTTGCAAGCCCATTTCCTAGACAAAAGGATAAAAAATTGGTAGAAATTTCTCGATTATATAAACAAGTGCTGTAAAGACAGTACTTAAACTCTCAGATGATCCGATAGTCTATTCAGGAAACATACTCTTGCTGCAGTTGTCACCCATAGTTGAAATGGTAGGGTGCTTTGAGAAGCATATTTATTCATTTTCAGTATGCATTACAAGGTAGAAAAAAGAAATGAAATTATAAATTATCTGTCTCGTGTTTAACTTCCACAATCTCCTCGGGAAAAACTTTCCTGTTTTAAAATAAGATTTTGGATTTGTAGCATTACAGACAAGTAAATAACACCGAAATTGTCCTATGACATGTTAACAGATGGGTGGGGAATGCCTGCTATGAATCCACATTTGTAGTCTGTTTACATCACTCTTCATAAATATTTACCCTTAGTGGTACACAGACAGCTCACAGAATTCAGCAAAAAAAGTATCAGGACAATATAGGGATTTAGTTTTTCTTAGGAATAATTTCATTCATTTAGAAGAGATTGTGTAACTTTAACATGTGCCCATTCAATGATTCACTAATACGTGGAGAAAATTATATGCAAAAGGAAGGTGACCCTGTGTGGAAGATTAGCCTACATAAGAATTTGGTCCAAACTTGTTTGCTGGAAAACAAATGTAAATGTTTTGTGCTCCTAGGATTGGGTCTAATGAGAATTGCTACAAAAAGAACATGAATAATTGATTTGTGAGTTGTAGGGGAAAACACACTGAGCTGTGATTTCTGATGTCTTGAGAGTGTGCAATCTACACAGCATGCTCTTACTTTGACAAGTATCACACTATGGAGACTTAGGCCTTAATCCAAGCATTTCTTTTCCAGCCTCTCCTTAAATCTAAATCAACATCTGACTGACTACCAGCTTAAAAGTATATCTGGTTTTTGCTCTGCCATTTTATGAAGCCAGAGCCAAATTGTAATGGTTTAAGTCAGGTCCATTGTTAGAAGACTTTTGTGCATTTATGATTAGGCAGAAGATAAAATTTTGATCTTGAAATGGATTCTTTTGCCACTGAAGCGAGAGGAAATTTTGACTCCAATTTTCATGGAATCAGGATCAAGTCCTAACTAGTATTCCGTAAATCACAAACCATCTTTGTCATTCAGTGTTTTGGAGGAAAGTTGAATCTGATGAATGGTAACATGTTCAAGGACTTTATTTTTACAAGAGAGCGTTGTGTAAAGAGACTTTTAAAGGTTCCATGTTCTTGAACTGTCTAGACCAGTCCTATATTTTTACTGTTGGGTTACCCCTTTCATGCAGCAGCTTCCCAATTATTCCCTAGTTTTGCACTGTGGGAATTAAGATTGAAAGTAATTGTACAGTTTGACAATATTTTGGACCTTAGAATATAAAGAAACGTTCAAGTAAATAAGGGCTTGTTTATACAGGGATTAACTACCTACATGACTTTAAAGTTTATTAGTGTACATCACAGTACAGTTTATTCGGATGTTCTTATTCAGAATTAATGGCCTTAATTCGGTTTAACTTAATTCACCTAATTACCGTTCTGGTTTTTAAAGTGAGTCTGAAAAGAGAAAAAATGCATTTTCTGCCTTTTCACTTGCTATCCTACAGCTAATGAAAGACTAGAGCTTACTTATTGTGCTCTTTTTCTGGCCTTGTCATTTAAAAAATGTATGCTGAGTGCTGTTGGTTTCAGTTTTTCATAATTTTTATGTAACATGATGTTGCAGTATTTTCTAGAGTACTACATCTACTGAGCAGTCACTCTGCTTGCTTTGTAAAGAATTCTTTGACAGTTTGTGAGTAAGAATCAGTAGTCACATAAAAACCCCAAAACACAAACACTCAGTTTGTTAGTAGATTTTACCGAAATAGAAAAGGGCAATTTAGTGTTCTGCTCTTTGTATTAAATTGTTATTAACATAGATATGGAAGGAACAAAATACAGTAGAGGAGCCTCATTTTTCAATGAGTAACTTTTAGTTCGGAACTCTTAACTATTCAGTTGATGTTTGAATAAATTTAGGTTGGTTTGGTTTTATTCTTTATTATGCAGCTTTATAAGCTAGTTCCACTGAGACTGTTTCGACCTCGCAGCCTTTGTAGAATCATAGAAGATGAGGGTTGGAAGGGAGGTCACATCTAGTCCAACCCCCTGCTCCAAGCAGGATCAGCCCCAACTCGATCATCCCAGCCAGGGCTTTGTCTAGCCAGGTCTTAAAAACATCCAAGGATGGAGACTTTTTGTAAACGACAAAAATTGCTTTTAAGTGCAAGGTGAATGTCTTGAGGGTGTATAATAGCTGACATTTAAGCCATTAGAAAAAACTTTAATCCACCTTAGGACGGCAGTAATTGAATGTGGTTGCTACTTTCTGAGAATTTGGAGCCTGTAAAAACAACCGTTATTTTGAATCCAGTTCCTAATTGTGCAGCTGTCAGCATAATCACTATACTGAAGATGCAGTCTTTCATACCAGTGGTGCTCCTTCCCTTGCCTGTTGGTCAGTTCTTGTCTATGGATCCATGTTATCTGGCCCACTGGGTTCCCCACCGGTCTGAAACTTTGGCAGTGAGTGAGGGAGCAGTGGCAGTTAATTGCCACTCTCCTGTTGCCAAATGTCCTGACCCGTTGGTAGCCCCTTAGGCCAGATAGCATGTCCTGGTGTGCCCACAGGGCTGATCAGATGGGTGCGTGCCCACCAGGTGAACAGGTTGAGCACCACTGCTTTATAGATTTGGTATAGGCACCAAGGAATGAGTGAACTCATCTTTTTATTTCCACAGGTGGGTCCTTTGATATAGAACAGGGTGGTCAAATTAGTGAATTTGTGTGTGGGGGGGGGGGGGAAATTCTATATTAACTTTGTTAACCATCTTGTGTATTTAAAACTAGTACTGTCCATTTGGCACAGGGACTCCATAGACACGTAAAAAGAAAAAAACAACAAACATGCTTTTATTTCTCTGCTGTTCTACATGTTACAAGCTCTACATGTTTTTTCTTTCCCTTTGGGCAGGTTTGAATGTTGTAAACCTTTTTGTGTGTCTGTCAAGTTTCATGAGTACCTAAAATATTTCTGTGAGATGTGTTTAATAACGTTCTCTTACCCTGTAGCTGAAATGAAGACCCCAAAACGCAGACAGCCCTTTGTGCCATTTGCTCTGAGGAATCACACTGGATGTACCCTGTGGTTTGCCACTCTAACTACTACACCTACCCGGTAAGGAACTGTTATAACGACATTTGTGATAATGTGTATCGTGTGCCTGCTTTAAGGACTAAGGAAGATGGATGCTTTTTCTATTATTATAGCTCAACTTTCCTGGCAGATGTCCCCCCCCACACACACCCCATCCTCCTTGCCCCTTCCCTCCACCCCCACTTTAAAAAAAGGGGTCTTAATAATGATTAATATAAAACCAAAAGGAAGCATGGACATTCATCCTAAATTAAAAATATTCTGTTTCTAAAGTTTCCAGTACAGTTAGTGTTAAAAATCGCCTGTTCATTAGAGCATCCCTTCTGCTTTTGAACCTCCTCAGCATTGTTGTGCAAAGAGCTTCATCCAGGCCTTTCCTCTCTGTCTAACAACATGGAGAACTAGCTAACAACTTCTAAAAGGTCATACCAAGCTAAGTGGAAATATTTTCATTGTAGTCCATTCCGAGATGCGTTTCACTCCATGATTCTTCTATTCCATCTCTCTTGAATATTTTTTTAAATGTATAGGGCTCCTGGTTAGTATTTATCTTGCTACTATAACTGCCTTTCACCCAACAGTATCTAGATGTTTAAAGGGGCTAATGAATGCATTTCTGCAACATTCATTCAGGATCTGTTTAATACGTGGGTTTCTAGTTTGATGTTCATATCTTTGCTGGGCCCTCTGGAAGTTTTTGCTAGTTATGAATTCAAGTCGAGTGTCAATGGCAAGTTCTTTTGTATAATATTTTTTATAAAGCTAGTTACATTGTTGCCACATCCAGAACTTTTCTTGGAAGTAATTCTGGATTCCCATATAAAACAATTTATATACCTAATAGTAACTTTTCTTAAACCTTCATGTCTCTTTAAGAGAGAATGAATTCCACACATTAGATGTTCTTAGGGCAAATTTGTTTTGTAAATCACCCAGACTTTGTGGCTTTAAGTGATAAGTCTACAAAGCAGGCTGTTTCCTTGTGTAAGTTCTCTAGATGGGTTACAGGCTCCCATTAAATATTTCCTACTCATAAGATAAACAACTTTTTAGTTGAACCTATTCAGCCTCCACAAGAGAAGGCTAAGGGGGGACCTGGTGACTGTCTATAGACTCACTAGGGGGGACCAGAGGGGTTTGGGGGAGACTCTGTTTCCCCTAGCGCCCGCTGGCATAACAAGGAGTAATGGGCACAAGCTGATGGAGAGGAGGTATAGATTGGACATCCGCAAAAACTACTTCACGGTTAGGGCGGCTAGGAGCTGGAACCAACTTCCAAGGGAAGTGGTGCTGGCCCCTACCCTGGGGGTCTTTAAGAAGAGGCTGGATGCCTACCTGGCTGGACTCGTTTGAGTCCCATTTCTCTTTTTGGGGTTTTTTGTTGTTCTCCCGCCCTGGCAGGGGGTCGGGCTAGAAGATCTACTAGGTCCCTTCCGACCCTTAATCTATGAATCTATGAAACTTTTTCCTCTTGGAGTTAGAGTATATGCTGTTAGGGCCCCTATGCCATAGATAGTTTGCTTTAGTGAAGTCTCTGTTTCTGAGTGACTTGGGGTGGGTACTTGGAATTCAGCCTGCATGTTTGCCAGTTGCTACTCCATTGTGACGTCTTCTAGTTTGGAGGCTTAGTTGATTTGGCTATCCTATAGTTCTTATTTAAATAGGATTCCTGTTGCCCACCTCCATATAGGTAACTACAGCGGGATCTGTATGGACAGAATCATATTACATTTGTCTGTGATAGCAGGGACTAGACCTGATAACCCAGCAGTGCTGCACAGGTCTTTGTTTCTAAAGAGAGTTTATTTATCTGAGAATAACTAGAATTCTTGATATTCACTTGTCCATGCTGATCCCCACCAGTGAAGTTCTTATTATACAGATCTCTTACCCGGATATTCTCTATTAGTGAAAGAAATGAGAGGTAATTGCTCAAAAGGCAGAGCAGTCCCATTGATTGTAGTTAATGCAAAGGTATATAGAGCATATGTCTGGAGATTGATGGTATCCAGAGTCTGGGCTCATGGCCTTGGTGTACATATAGTGGGATTCTAGTAGACAAAAGCATGCCAAAGACCTGCGGTTTCTGTAAGTAACCTCTCTTTTGCAGAAACATATAATCCAGGTATCATTCTTCTTACAGCGCGGCGTTATCTCACAGCGGCAGTCCAGGCGTTGTTTCCGAGGAAAATGGGACTTTGCTTGATGATGCACATAAAGTCAGTGAGTGGCGAGAAGTTCTCACTGGGGAAGAAATTCCATTTGAATTTGAAGCCAGAGGAAAACTGAGACATAGGTGAAGGAGCAAATACTCAGTTTTCTTTGAAATTATCACTTGCAGATAGTCACAGGGACGTACATTTGGGACACAACTCAATACTTTTTTCATAGCATTTGTGATTTTTGTACCTTTCCACAATCTTTTTATTTTATTTTAATTTTTTGGGATACTACAAGTCTTTCAAAAAAAGGTCTACGGGTAAATTTTCCCAATAGTCAAGCAGGCAACTCGCATTCATGTCAGCCGGAGCTGTATGTATGTATCCAAGGTCAGGATTTAGCCATCAGAAACTTACAAAAGACCTCATTTTCATTTTCTACAAAATGTATGTTCTGTATTTCTAGACAAAGACAATTTCAAGTTTCCTGTCAGTTTGCTTTTGTGAGCCTCAGCACATGTCTGTGAAGACTTTCTTGTTAGTTAGGTGACTTTAAATACCAGCAGAGGATGCTAATGAATATCTAACAAGTTTATCATTTTGTTTGTGTTCATGGCAAAGAAATGGGATATAATTTTAGTATTTGTATTGGGCAGCATTGGATAACATTCTCCTAAACCAAAGGCACATATAGTTTTCTGTTGGTTTTAAACAGCACCTTTTACATTTAAATCGTCAAGATTTGACCGTTTTTTCCTTAGTGCAACAGATATTTAGAAATGAGGCAAGTTTGAATTTATTTCGTCTTTCCTTGTAAGGTGACACTTTTAAATACAATCTGATTTGCTCTGAACTGACAGGCACACACACGATCTGAGAATTCATCAGCTGCAGGTGAGAGTAAGTGGCTGGGAACAAGTCAATCCTGTGTCGGTAGACAAAGTTGGAATCTTTTTCCGTTATGCAGCACCTGACAAGAACACGTCGTCCTCTACTGTAAGTTCTGGCTCTAAGTACATTTTCAGTGACATCTCTTCATGATGTTTTATTGTGGCTGCAAACTTCTTTGCAACTGACTCTTAAAGCAATGACTGTTTACCAAGGGGACCCTTCTTTTCTGTCAGCTTGAATTGAGAGGGTTCAGCGATCTTTGGTTAGTTACTGACAGCTTTACATATTGCAAAGCCAACATAAATACTGCTGTCAGTGATGTTAAAGTCTGTGCTCAAAAGAGAATACTGGTTTGGAATGCCATCATTAATACATTAATAATTGTTTCATAAATCCATTGGATAAAACTGAATCCCACCAACATTTCTTTTCAGCTATGTCCTGTTCCTCTGCTGTAGGCTTTTAGGGATTATTTTCACATGGTTCATTTATTGAAAATAAAATGCATCGACACACTTGTATATATCTAGGGTTATACTTGGATTCAGTTGCTTTCACAACATTGTGTAGATTATGAATGAAAAAATTGTACTAACCCACAGACTTGTGTTTGTGTTTGGGAGTGAATGCTGGAGCAATCTTGTCTGTATCAGGAGTGGGTAACTTGTATGCCCAATATAAGCAGTTAAGAGAGCAACCAGGGATATTGGAATTTGAAGGTTGTTGGCAGCAAGATTGGGCTTGAATTTTGAACTTTTATTTGAGAGGTTAGTTTAATATTCACCAGTAGCTTTGGGTTTTTGTTAAATGTTTTAGTAAATTCTGACAGTTGTTGGTTATAGCACCCATAGCCTCACTTCAGTCTTCCTGCCCTATGTATATCAGTTATGGCCCATTTCAGGACAGTGATCTGGTAAAAAACCCCCACATATCCCTCCTACACTCACAGCCTTCCAACATCTGTTCTCCCTTCATCTTACTAAAACAAGATCTGTACTGTGAAGTGTAGGAAGCACTCATTTATCATCTTTTTGACCTCATATTTTTCTGCTACTTCGCCAAAGCAGTGGAGAAATGGTAAAACTGCTGACTTCAGCTTAGCTTCACTTCTCTTAAAACAGTATCATGATTTAAAAAAGAGAAGTGTGCATTGATAACTTTTTGTTCTTTTCTAGGTTGGGAGCCCGATCAGTAGAACAAATATAATACATCCGCATGTCTATGTGAGTACATTTCCCTACTTGTTTTAGATGTGCCTGAATGAAAGTAGCATAATTTCAAGTAGCAATTCTCTCTTAATTGGTTGAGTGTGCAGAGAGGGGTTTTTAAGAGGAGGTTAGATGAACACCTTGCTGGGGTCATTTGAGCCCAGTATTCTTTCCTGGGGTGGCAGGGGGTCGGACTAGATGATCTGCTCAGGTCCCTTCTGACCCTAGTATCTATGAAACTAAGAAAGCACCATGAGTTAGACTGACCCTCCTCACCAACAGACAAGCTGTTGGGTTGGGAGGGTGAGGGATCAAGCTCCAATTTGGAGCCAATCCAGCCAAGGAGCTGCAGACATTCAGCTTTTTTCCCCTAGCCCTGTTTCCTCCCTCCAAGCTCTGGTGCTGTCTGCATGATGGGAGGGGAATGAGCTTGGGTTGGGGTTTGCCTGGCCTGTGCTAGAGATGGTGGATGAATCCCTCCCCCAATCCCTCCCCCACCCCAGCGTGGGCTGGGCAAGCCCTCAGCCCTAGCTCCCTCCCCTCTCTTCTCCCCCTGCCCATTGCGTCAACCCAGCCCCCTGAGCAGACAGAATTAATGAAAGTGCTCCACTTTGGAGTGCCTTCATATAATGAGGGTTAATTTGTCATGTGCTCGGAGGGCTCTGCAGTCATGCTCTTCTCTTGGGGCATGGCTGTAGAGCACTTTCAAGGGGCCGATTGCAGAAATATCATTTCTGTCTGTGCCTTGAAAGACTTTGTGCAAATGATATCTACTCACTGGTGCTTACCTAATTATAGAAGTTGATATATATAGGTGACATCTGATTTAATTACTCAGTTTTCTGTGAATGCATGGTATAGGCACTTTCCAGTTCAGACTCCCTTGAAATAAAATATTTTTCCCTTGTTTGTTTCCAAAGTAAGGGATTACCCAAAGAATAACAAGTGATTCCCTCCTTGTAAGACTACACTTCATAAAACCAAGGATGCTAATTGTCCTTTGGATGCGATTTCCTAAGAATATACATTTAATAGGGAAACACCAAATGCCTGATTTTCCACTTCTTTCATTGTTATTTACATATAAAACACTAGCATTTAACACCATTGGTCATTTTACGCATGTAAATAATGGCATAAGTTGCATGACATTTGGACAAAAAGACCTCAGTCTGTAGAACAACTGAGCACATGTTAAGTATGGCTCCCTGAAATTGTTAAATATAGGAGAGAATCTGCAGATTTGGACAGTACCTAAGAGAGGAAAAGAAAACTCATAATGGGGAATTTTCTTGACCTAGATTTATGGGCACTGACAGGGTAACTGCAACAGTGGAAGGATTTGTGGGTTGTTATTTACATTTCTGTGTGATTATTGTGTCTGTGAAAATTTTTTTTTGAGAGCTGACCACCATTAATCATGAAAAGGCTTTTGAGAGGTTTTGGGAACTGTTGAGCTGGTTTTTTCTTAGCTCTGTTCTTATCTACTCTGAAGCTGTAATCTTCAGTACTACAAAGAAAATACATTTTTAACACCTTGGAGCTGCTTGGTGCATTTACTGTTATGCAAAGGAAGCATGAGAAGAGCTTGCATGGTGTGGCAAGTTCCCCTTTCTCCACCTCTGACTTCTTAATTACAGTAATATTTATTATAGCACCCAGAGGTCTCAGCCTTGGATTGTAATTGCAACATCTAACGAATGACATATCATGGGCACAAATTGGTGACAGTCTAAATAACAATGGGTACTGGACACACATACAGAAGTAGGGCTGGAAGGCACCTCCAGAGTTCATTTAGTCCAACCCCCTGTCTGAGACAGGATCATCCCATACAAACTATAATCTCAACTTTATGTAAGACTACCATCAACCCTGACACAAAATAGACCTAGCACACCAACCTGTCAGAGGTAAAGCAAGGAGCTATGGCAGGCAATGTCCTGCTTCTATTAAATGATGTCAATATACGCTGGAGAAATCTGGGGTAGAGGACCCATACCCCCTGCTACAGAGAGGCAAAAACCCCCATAGTACATACCAGTCTGACCATGGGGTAAAATTCTTTCCTAGCCCCAAATAAGGTGATTAATTTGATCCTGCGTGTAGGGGCAAGATCCTCTAGCCAGGAGCCTTCAGCTTTGGCACGCCACAAAGTCCCCAGCTTTGGCTGTAGCCAAAATCCAATGCCTCTGGGAAGGCTTAATAACATCCTATCACATGTCAGATGTCAGATATCCAAACCATCAAAATCTAACTTCTTCAATACCAAAATATTCTGTGCTTGCATTTGGGAACATAGGAAAACTGAAGCATAAGCAAAATCTCCTTAACTTTTTTTTTTAAATTTCTGGTGACAATGTATACAGTATTGGGGAACAAAAGAGTAAGACTTTCTCTGATGCATAAACCTTTGATTTCATCATCCAAGGTTTCATGTGTATGTTTTGTTATATTCCAATCATACATGCTATCTGCAACACAAGAACATTTGTGGTTTATTCCCTCCCTTACCAAAGGCCAAATTTTCCAAAAATCAGTCTGCTTAAAGGCTGGATGACAAGCTGTACTTTTGATACATGAAGCAGTAAAAGGATCACAGAATTGCTGAGTCCAGGTATAAAAAGTTTTGAAGGTTTGCCCCTCCCAAAATTTTTTCATCAAATCAGTTGAAAAAGCAGCAGCCAAGAGCGATGCTAAGAGATCTTGGCACGTCTCATTCATTTCTGTTCTTGTTATCAGCAGAGCTGGGAGCATAGGATTAAATGCAGACCTGTGTATATGTTGTGTTTGAACTGGTTACAGAGTTCAGAGATTAAAAGGGCAAAGTTCCAAACTGAACTAAACTAAAATATAATATTTATAACATGTTAGTAAAATTATAATTGTTATAAACTTTTCTAGAATCTTCACAATTCTTCTTTAATGACATAATATTTTGAAGAAGAGGCAGATTAGTAATTGCATGACTAAAGTGAATATTGAGACTTGCTTTCATTGGATAGTAAGTTTGGCTGTGGTCTCGGGATTACTTTATTTAAATATTTCCTATGTACTTTGTACTGAGAGCTCAGGGTATGTTTTAAAAAAAAAATATATTCCTGTGGTTTTTTTCCCATGTGTTCTTATACTTGCTGAATATGTTGCTGGCAAGATTAAGCAAAACTATCTACATTTCTTACTCTTATTTATTTTTTTTAACTTTGTTTTATTAAAAAATATTGGCAGTTCAAAATCCTGGACCCACTATCCATTCTTCCACAAAAATAAGAACGTTGTCAGCATGTTCTGGGCAGAGCCTTCTAAAATAATAGTTACTGAAGCCGGTTTTCTTTGGGTGCATATACAGTGTGAGTTTTTGTTCACGTAGTACATGGGGGAGGGGCAAATTGTTTTAAAAATTCTCTAAAATTTTGTTATAGTGCAGTGTGTGTGTATATGGGTTCTCTGTTTTGTTTTTCTTAAAGCAGGGCATCAATCTGAATTTTTCTTTGCTCTGTGTATAGAAAGGCAGTGGCTGTGTAAAGGAATACATGGTATGAATGCAAATAAAAATGAACTGACATTTGAATTATTATAAATTATTTGATTTGCCTCCCCTCCCCTAGAAACAAGGAATGCTGATAAAAATGTTTAACGTAAATAATGCTCTCGATATTTGAGCTCAGGGTGCCCACAGTACAGATTGTAGCTACATTTGTTTGCTGTAATGTACAGAGAATTGCTCAGAAGGAGTAAGGTATGTAGCAGAACAGGTCTCAAGTCTACTGTCATTTAGTTGGGTTCCTTGGGGTTTTATTTCATTACTCTGTTTCTTTAGATTGACACATCTGAACAAAGATTTTATATTTATAAAAGACTTCAGAAGTACAAATAAATAGTATAGGTATCCAGGTTGTAGCCGTATTGGTCTGGAGGAAAAGGCGATCAGGACTCATAGTAGAGATGATATCTTTTATTAGACTAACAAGATTTTTGCAAAAAAAAGTCTTTTATAAATGTTATAGGCATATATATAAATTAGGATGACAGGCTTTCTCCAGGTAGTCCAGGTGGTTGGCACTGAAGAGTTTGGACATTCCTACTTGAGATGCTGTTGGTTGTACCTTTTGATACTTAAAGTTTTGATTGGCTTTGCAGTTTTCCTCATTGCCTCCAGTTCGGGTAGTATTTGAAGTTACCATGGAAGGTAGTGCCCGGAAGGTGATCACTGTGCGCTCTGCCCTGATTGTGAAGAACAGACTGGAAACACCAATGGAGTTGAGGCTAGATAGCCCTTCAGCTCCTGACAGTAAGTTTTTTGGGATGCTAATACAAAAATCTAAAACTCTTGGTTCAGAGATGGTACCTTTTAATAGACCAACTAAGAAATCACAAAAAAATTATATCACACTGCTAAACCATCTAGTGGTGAGAAAAGCCTTGCTACCAGACTTGGTAGTGATAGTTCTGGCTTTTGTTCTTTAATGTTTTTTTTTGCCCTGTTAGTCTAGTAGCAGTGAATATATCTGCTCAAATGCTCAAAATAGGAAGGTATCACTTAAAGATTTCCTTCAGATCTTATTTAGAGATTTTTATGAGGACGTAGTGTTTTGCTATTAAATTTTACATAATATCAGGAATTTTGTGTTAGTCTTTTGTGATGTTAGTTGCTTCTGTCTGAAGCACATTTTAAAGCAGGGGTGGGCAAAATGCAGCCTGCGGGCTGGATGCAGCCCACCAGGCCATTCTGTCTGGCTTGCGGGGCCCCTAAAAAATTTAGAAAATTAGTATTTATCTGCCCCTGCCTGTCTGTCATGCAGCTCTCAATGGCTTACCAAAACTCAGTAAGCGGCCCTCCGCCCAAAATAATTGCCTACCCCTGTTTTAAAGCATTTGAAGGAAAGCTTCAAGTCATGCTTTGTTTCCTTGCCTTCCTTACTGAAATAAAAGATTTTTCTCTTACCTTCCTTTGCCTTATGTCAACATCCACAATCTAGTCTTTACTCAGCTTCTGTTTTAAGATTTTATTATTTCACTGAAATAATATATTTATGACAGTTTGGGGAGAAGCTGTTTCTTTTTTTTCCCGTGCTACCAGTTATATAATGATTAAGTTTTTTTAAGACAGCAAATACAAAGCTAATATGAATGAAGGTTTCAATTCTCTATTTTAGAGAATGGTCAGTTTATATCCTGTGGCACTGAGGACAGTTGTCTGCTACTGACTAATTTCTGGAACCACATCATAAAAAAACTTGAGCTGGATTTTCATTGAGAGGGAGAAATACATTTCACAGATTTCAACAGTTTCTAAGCTATTAATAATAAAGTAACCTTAAGTTTTGGGGTAAGTGGGAAAGAAAGGAAGTTGAGGGATCCTTGGGACTTTCAACTTGCTACTCAGCTTAGTCTGCAAGTGAGCCATACCTTCTTATATTTCAACTTGTACAACAAGACATAGATTGAACAAAACAAGAATGTAACCTCAACAGTCCAGATTTGCCCAGGAGGTTTCAGCCTTTCTTGCAGATGCAGTCCAGGAGTTTAGGTTAACATTGATGGGTTTAGTTGCAAATAGATGAGTAACTTCTTTCCACAACCACTTAAATATGACTTTTAATCAAAGCAGCCTAAGAAATAAGTTCAAAACCACATTTGGGGTGGGGGGTGGGGAATTGCCCACTAAAATGGTAAGCAGGACTTTCTTGATTGGGAATGCTGGACATAACAGTTAGGGTTTGGCCTGAGAGAGGCATATATAACAAAAAATGTGTTACTTTCTTTCCATGTCTTGTAGACCATTTATCATTACATTTGTTCATTCTTCCTTTGAGCAGAAGAACCTGTCCTGATGCATGTTTGCTTTTTTTCTCATTTGTTTGCAGAACCTGTAGTGCTTCCCTCAGTAATGCCAGGGGATTCCTTAGCTATTCCTCTACACCTTACTTCTTGGCGATTGCAGGCCAGGCCAAAAGGGATGGGGGTCTTTTTCTGTAAGACTCCCATTCACTGGACTAATGTTCAGAAGGCAGCAGAGGTATGCAGCAGCAAGCGGGAGTGCCATTCGATGGAGAGTGAAAACAGCCGGTTCTTCAGGTACTTAAGGCTTAAAAACTCCCAAATCATTTTCTGCAGTTTTAATGATAAGTTCTAATAGTGTGGACAAGAACTAAAATGGAACAGGAATAAGGGAATTCAAAGAGAAAATGTTTTGGTGTTTGACTCTCCTTTACTTTTACAAGACAGATGAGATTTAGTGTGAAGTTGTATCCATCTGGGTACATAGAATAATGGAATGGGATCTGCCAGGATAAGTAAAAGGAAGAGTATTCAAGTCCCAATGACTGTGGTTCAGTGTCTAAGATGGAGCAACCACAATGCATTTTGCCAAGCTTCTTTCTAACAGACCATTACAGGAATAGGAAGCAGGTATCAATATTAGCTTGGCTGTGGCTGTTTCTTCTCCTTTAACTTCAGGAGCCCATGGATTCTTCTAGGAACCACAAAATGGAAAATCATATGAGGCATTTTTAAATTTTTGACTTAACCAATACAGTTTTTGTATTTCTCTTGACATCTCTAATAGTAGAGGTCTAAATGACAAAATAACTACTCTGAATAAATTCTGAGAAATAAGGGACTTACCTATTCTGTCATTCTGCCACAATAGGTAGTTCCACAGAGCATATGCACAGAATTTGAGCATTGTCCAAAGCATTCAGTGCTGTGGTGTTAAAATGCAAAATGGTATCATGTAATGGGTACTTCATTGAAACTCATAATTTTCTTGTCTAGTAGACACAGTTGCCTTCAACTAATTAAACCTTAAATTTGTCATTCCTAAAATACTTGAAGGAATTGTTCTTTTCACAGTGAATAAGTTACCCTTTTTATAAATTTGTTAATCTATAGTTTATATATATATATATATTTTAAATGCAGTTTAAAGGCACTATTGCGACATGCCTAAGTATCTATGTGACACTGGTACTTCTCCAAAAAACATTATCCAAAGTTTAAATATTCTTTAAACTATATAAATTAAACTCAAGAGGCAGTGTTGTGTAGGGGTTACATTACATTAGGGGAGAGCATGAAAGCTATTGAATTATGGAATGCAGCTTTAACTTTGTTGACAAATATGATATAGTTTTAACTGAGATTGGATAGTATACTAAAAAAATTGCTATATATTTTTACAAAGGTTTGATTAGTTTGCAGCCACCTTTTATATACAACATTTTGCTATTAATTCTGCGTTCACAAGTGGAATGGAACTTTTTGAAGAGAAACGGATTTTTATATTATGAGTCTTCTACTGTAGTGGGATGGTTCACAGAGTTATAAAACGCTTTGGGAGTTTTAGAAAAGGGGTGATCTCAGCTGAAATGTTGTACGATCAGTTCTAAAATGTTGTTTCTAGAGATGAATTCTAAATGCTGCCAGGGTTATGAATCCTCTGTAAAATACACCCTGGTGTGAGATTCAATGTACTACCTGAAGATAAAGTACAACTATTCCATTCACTTAATTGATTTTTTTTTTAACACATCTGTCTTTTTCTTTCTATAGGTTTTGTGTGGCTATAAAGAAGGAGAATTATCCAGATTACATGCCCTCAAACATATTTTCTGACAGTGCTAAACAGATTTTCAGGCAGCCTGGGCATATCATTTACCTCCTGCCAACAGTGGTAATCTGTAACTTGCTACCTTGTGAACTTGAATTTTACGTTAAAGGGATGCCAATTAACGGGACATTAAAACCTGGCAAAGAGGCAGCATTGCACACAGCTGATACATCTCAGAACATTGAGCTTGGTAAGGCGTTACAGAGGTTCTTATTATTTCCTGCCACTTTAGAAACCATCTTAGAAAGACTGCATGTTTTGCTATAGAAGCAGTCACGGTACCAAAATTAAAATTAGCTTTTTATGAAATTGGTAGCAAAATTACATGATGCCAAAAAATACATGGGACCAAAGGGTGTGTGTAAAGCGCCTGAAAACTTTAACGTGGCTTTTTTTTTTGGTGTGGTGCATTTGTCTTCGCACAACACAGCGTTTGTGTTTGCACAACAAGGTGCTTTTGAGCGAGTTAAGCCTCGTGTGTCATTCCTTGCAAATGCAATACATGGTACCAAAATTAAAATAAGCTTCCTATGAAATCTAATTAGTTATGAAATTGGTTAACCAAGCATGTGGAAGTTAATTAAAAAAGAGTTGTAATGTACTGAAAAATTTAAAATATTTAATTGCTTCTTTTTTCTGGAAAGACTGGAAGATAGCTAACATGGTCCCCATCTTCAAAAAAGGGAAGAGAGAGGACCCAGGCAACTATAGGCCTGTCAGTCTTACCTCTATCCTTGGGAAACTCTTTGAGAAGATCCTGAAGGAGCACATCTGACTTTCAAAAAGCCTTCTGCCTTCAGAAGCTCTTAATTAAGTTGGGTAGCCCCAGGATTGCAGGGAGCATCTGCTCATGGATTAGAAATTGTCTCAAAGATGAAAGCAAAGAGTTGGGTATAAATTGCCAGTTTTCAGGATGGAAAGAAGTAAATTGCTGGGTCTCCCTGGGAT